ACTTTCACCACTGTGTGCTCAGTATTTTACATTTTGCATGAAACATAGTTACTGGATGAAGCTAAAAATTAATTGACCTTAGAAATTATTTTGCTCAAATCCCTGCATGTTTCAAGGACTCTCTCATCATACTATTTCCATAAGAGCTCTAAGTCCAAAGGTCTAGAAGGGAGATAACTTTATCTCAGAGACAGAGAGATACCCTCACTTTCCTACAGCATGTTCCATGGCCTTCGTCATAAAGTCCAAAGGTCTAGAAGGGAGATAACTTTATCTCAGAGACAGAGAGATACCCTCACTTTCCTACAGCATGTTCCATGGCCTTCGTCATAAAGTCCAAATTCCCTCCAACTTGTGTGAACAACCTCACCTTCCTCCATTTCCTTCCCCCATATGTTTGCACACACTCAATTTCATATCACTACACAACAATAAAACTAATTCCATGATATCACCTCTCTTTGGAAAGTCCTTCTTTCATGTTCCTGCTAAACATCCTGCAAGATTTCCTCTGTGAAACTTTACCTGCTAGTCAGAGGGATTATTACTCTTTACTGTCACTTCATGCATACATCTACCACATTTATTTTAACATGACAATTCTATGCCTAATTTGGCCATTTTACTGCCATTTTACTGCCTTTTTACTTTGAGTAAAAGGGGCATATCCATTTTTCATCTCCCTACCATGATGCTTCATAGACATATGCAGCAAAAATTGTTGTCTCCTATACATGTATGTCAAGAAATAGTTAAGAATTTTTCATCATTTATATTGCTCTATGGAATGAAAAAAATTGGAACATTGTAAAAGTTGTTATTCTGTCACCTATTTGACCATTGGGGAAGCAATGGGAAAGGCAAGTTTTAATTTTGAAATGGATATTCATTTTAGTTATAGCTTGGTTAAGAAATAATATTTGAAAATATGTATACTATATCCAAAATGACAAATACACATCTATCGAAACTTTCCATTTTTACTTTTTAATTTTTAAAGAAGTGGATTGGTTTTTCAGGACACAAAAGAAAGGTAAATGGAATTACAAGGAAATTCTATAATTTGGATTTTTTTTTTTTAACTTAGCATAGGCATAGGTAGCACTTCCTGGGACTATGTAATGGATATTTAATGATTACTTTTATAGTGACCCTGCATTAAATCCTATTGGCCAAAAGCAAGTTACAGCTCCTCTTATTGGAGGATCAAATGGTTGATGGATCAGCACCATGGACAGAACACTGTAGAGCAGTCACTGTGAGGCTGCCTGAAAAATGACAACTGGGATATCGTTAGACCTACTACCAAGGAAAGACTAGTGAGAATGTTCCTCTGGGGACCATGGGCTTGGGTCAACTCAAAAGACAGGGTCTTAAGAAACCAACTACTCCTCCAAGATGTTTCAGAGTAGCATGATCCACTTCACTTACTGACATATTGATACACTACTCTTTCAACAATCTGCTCTTCTGTTCCCAAGGCATCAGTATTTTCACACTAAAAAGAAATGTGGACTATAGTTTCTCCTTGTACCTGTCTACCATCTATAATCTTTTGCAAACTATATTTCAAATTAATAAGCTTTTTATAAAAGATGAGACTTAGAAATTGCTGATGCTATTGGGTAGGCTGTATGACAATATTGAAATTATACTTAAAACGGGAGACGTTAGCTTTTAGCAATACATTCTGATGGTTACAACCGAAATAATATGTCTAGGATTTGCTTCCAAAGGACCCATGATCAGGAAAAATGGATAGAGGTAAAAGGAACACAGAATTGGTCATGAATTATAATTGTTAAAGCTGGAGGATGAGAACATGAGTTAACTCTCTCTTCAATGTATTTTTATATTTTTGAAATTTTCCATTAAAATATATATATATAAAATATTTGTGTGATAGAGGCCACCAAAAAAAAAATTCCTGAAGATCTTATTAGCCTACAGCTAAAGAATAATAAAGAGCAAGCTCTTGTAACCCCCTGCTCTAAGAGGAGCTATACACACCCTATGTAGATCTAAGATGTTTTCTCACTCAAGACTGTGATGAAATAGGAACTGCAGATGTCTATGGATGCCTGGGTTATGTTCTGGAGCAAGAGGTCCCAGGAGTGCAGTTAAACTTGTCATGAATCTCCCCTGGCAAGCAGCAGCTGGGGGCAGCCTGGAGTTGCAGGGGATAGGCTGAGTACAAGGAGGAGGGCCTGCTTGTGATGGCAGGCCTAAGATCAGCATACTAAGGTTCTCTGTCGGAACCAATAACAACAAAAACCTGTTTAAATATAAAATAGGCTAGATAAATATAAGGAACCAAGTTATGATGCCACCTACATTGGGTTGGAAAGGAACTAAAATGAGAAGAGGGTGGATGGTAACAAAAATAATACATCTAAATATGTGGGGAGTCTATTGGAAAATGGGGGGCACTATTGGGGACTCTTCATGCAACAGATATGTCAGAAGCAAATAAAGAGCCAACAGAGAGACTGGTGGGCAAAATATGAAAATGAAAAATGCTTTCAAATCTGAAACTGTGCACACAGGGAAGAGCTGTTCAGAGGCTGTGGACAGCACAGTAGGTTGAGTGCCTACTAGGTGTGAGGCACTGACAGAAAGCCACCCCACCCCCTGCACTGAGCTAACATTATATAGAGAATACAGGTAAATGTTTTTTAAGTGTGTTCATGTCACCTGGTTTTTCCTTTAGACCAAAAATGTGGCTTTAGTTCACTACAGTCCCCATCATTCCCTACAGGTTTATGCTCTGCCACTTCACTCATTTATGGTATTTCCCTGAGCCCTGTAGCCTTTTGAGTTTGTGAACCCTGCTCGGTAACATCCCCAAATTGCTTGTGACACTTGCTTCTCCTAAAACCTCCAAATAGCCCAAGGCTCCTACTCTTATTTGAACCTGAATCCTAAAATACCACTCATCTAAAGTAACTTCAAGCAGTTTAATCACCTGGCTGAGGTCTCAATGTCCTCAACTCCCCAATGGAGGCCATCGTATCTGCTTTGTAGGGTTTCTGTGTGAGGACTTGACTTTGCCTAGACAGCTCTTACTCCTGCTTAGATATCTCATCCCTGGCATCCCTTCTTCAGAGACTCCGTGTGAGACCCCCCAATTCCTAATTGCATCAAATCCCTCTAAAATACATAGATCCTCAGACTATATTCCCCTTCTTGGCAGTAACTGTCGTAGTAACCACTGTACATGGATTACATAAGTGATGCCCGACTCCCACCAGCCTGAAAGCTCGGAGGTGGCTGGAGAGCCCATTTTTGCTCACCACTTCACACCGTGTCGGGAGCAAAACAGATACTCAGTAAATACTATTTTAGGAAAGGGTTATAAGTGAACGGAAAGTAAGCTGTGGAAGACAACCCTTGACACACCAGGTGCCCAAGTCTCTCTGCTCCTCCTTCATCTCGCCGGCTGTGCAACCGGTGCTCCTGAGACTGGCTCTGAGAAAGGGAGTCCCTAAACTGCTTTCCAACAGGCCGTCTACCCCTTGGCACAGGGGTTTTTGTTCTGCCCACTGACTTACCACGTGCCTAGAACACTGCCTGGCACCTCAGTAAAGGGAGGAGCGCACGGTAAAGATCTGGGCTTCACAAAAGCGAAGATGTGGAGATGTGGGCAGTTCCCCTCTCCACACACCTCCCGGGCAGCACACCCAGAGGGAGCAGGTGGGCTGGCGTGTTGGCCTCCCTGCCTGAGGGTCTCCCCGCCTGAGGGTCTCCCCCGCCTGAGGGTCTCCCCCGCCTGAGGGTCTCCCCCGCCTGAGGGTCTCCCCCGCCTGAGGGTCTCCCCGCCTGAGGGTCTCCCCCGCCTGAGGGTCTCCCCCGCCTGAGGGTCTCCCCGCCTGAGGGTCTCCCCCGCCTGAGGGTCTCCCCGCCTGAGGGTCTCCCCCGCCTGAGGGTCTCCCCGCCTGAGGGTCTCCCCCGCCTGAGGGTCTCCCCGCCTGAGGGTCTCCCCGCCTAGGGTCTCCCCAGCACATTCAGCCACGCCGGCTGCCCCGGGCCACCAGAAGCCCCAGGGCGAAGAAGGGCGTCCCGCGCAGCCCCTTGGGAAGGAAGGGCCCACTGACTGAGGCGCCCGCGGGGGCAGACGCAGCGATGCGCCCGGCACCCCCGCGAGGGAGCGGGTCCCTGAGGCCGCCCCCGCAGGACGCCCGCCCTTGGCCACGACCGCGCACTCGGCGGCCACCAGAACCCTCCGCTTGTCCCTCCGCGAGGCAAAGGAGTTCCCCTCCCGTTCCTCGTCAGAAAGGACTTGGCGCCTACTCCCCAGCAGGGCTTCCTCCTCCTCAAAGACGTCTCCCCGCCTCCCAGACGCCCTGGCTGGGGAGGACGCCCACTCCCCTTTCTCGTACTGTTGCACCGTCCCCGGCACAATGCTGCGGCTCCCGCTGTGTCCCTACGCCCCGGGAACGCTCCTTCCTCAGCGAGCGTCCTCACGCCTCAGGACCCCCGGCGCGAGTCCCCGCCGCGCGCTCTCGCGAGAGCCCGCCACGCAGCCCTCCCCCGCCCGCCCCGCAGCCACCGACAGCCACCCCGGCCCCTCGCCGGCGACGAAGCCTCGGCCTCAGACCCCGAGGCGCGCGGTCGCGGCGGCGCATGCGTGACCGCGGCTCCCAGCGCCCCCGCGCAGTCCGCGGGCGGAGCGGACGAGGCCGCGCGCGGGGACCCGGCGGCCGCCCCCGTGAGGCCTGGCTTCCTCCCCGCGGCTTGTCTCCCCTCAGGGGCAGGACGACCGCGCGGCCGTCCCTTGGCGGGCGGAGGCTTCCTGAGGAAGGCCGGGGGCCGGGAAGAGCCCGGCGCGGGCCTCGAACACCGCCGGCCCCCTCGGCCCCCCGCGGCGGCCTGGGCGCGCCGGCGTGCCCCGAGCCTCGAACCCGGCCGGGCGGCGCCGGCACCTCCGGCCGCGCCCTCGCCGAGCCGCGCCGCGGCCGGGTGGCCCCGGTCCCTGCCACACCCCCTCCCGGCCCCGCCGTCCGCCCCCCGCCCTCCTGTCCTCAGTCCCGGGGATCTTCTCCCGGTCCGCCGGCCTCGCCGCTGCCGACATTGCACTAAAAGAGATGCACCCCGGAAAGGCAAATCGCGGGGGCGCAGCTTGTTTGGAGGCGAGGCCGGGTGTGTGGACCTTAGCGTGCCCAGCCACCTTGTCGAGGGCCTGGGATAGATCCGATTCATCAGCCTCGGAGTGCCCCTTTCCTGCCAAGTCTACCGATTTTTGCCTCCCTGTCTTCTCACACTTCCAAAAACGATAAGCGGGGAGCTCCCCGGAGATTTGTTTTATCTGAGTCTGCTTCGAGCTAGACGTGAGGGCGACCCCTTACATGCTGTTCAGAGCATGGCTGTGTCCCCTCAGATCGATACCCCCCTGGAAGTGGAGGGATGCCTAATAATGAAAGTGGAAAAAGACGCCGACTGGCCCTCGGAGCCCATTCTGGAGAGATCAGACAGCTCCGAGGCGGAGACCTTTCGCCAAGGCTTCAGGCAGTTCTGTTACGCGGATGTGGCTGGACCCCACGAAGCTTTCAGTAAACTCTGGGAACTTTGCTGCCGGTGGCTGAAGCCAGAAATGCGTTCCAAGGAGCAGATCCTGGAGCTGCTGGTGATTGAGCAGTTTCTCACCATTTTACCCGAGAAGATTCAGGCATGGGCGCAGAAGCAGTGCCCCGAGAGTGGAGAGGAGGCAGTGGCGCTGGTCGTACACTGGGAGAAGGAGACAGGACGGCTAAGACAGCAGGTGAGAGGATTTTTTAATTTCGGAGGAAAAGAATGGGGAGGAACGCGCTGTAGGGTGTGCATTAGCCTTCGTTATGGAAATACATGGCGCGAATGAAAAGACCTCTAAGGGAATCCACTTGAAAGGGGTCAGAATTTCATGATAAATAGAAAAAAAAAAAAACAGCTTTGGTTGAAATAGTATCTTGCAAATGAAACTATTATGTATCTAAGTGTTTGTTTTAAATCCTTGGTATAAAGCTCCCCCCAAAAAAAAAATTATATGAGAGAACAATATATTATTTGTTTCATGGGATTTGACTTTTGCAGAATGAGCCAACCACCAACCACCACCTCCCCTCAAAAAGAAAGAAAAGGACAGAATTTCATCAGTTATCCCAGGGGCCTCTCTAATCCTTTAATAGTCCATCCCATGCTCTGAAGTGCCCTCAGTGCCATCATCCTTGTCATTCTTCTCCAGTTCAACTAAAAATGACTCTGCATGCTCTTCTAGTTCTTTGATTTCAAAGGGCCCTTCCATTAACCTCATGAAATCCTGCACAGGCTTTCCATCTGTGTGAGGATCCAACTATCTGTGGGTTGCTGTGTTGGTCAAGGATAGACACTAGATGTGGAGATTATTTTTTAAGTTTTTTAACTGTCTGGTGTATTTGTGTTCTGATAACTTTTATTTCTTTGTGAACCTAAGAGATGTGAGAACTCAAATGTCTGTTCTAATAACAAAGAGGCTCTGTATTTCCCTGCTGACAGATTTTTCCCCTGCTGTATATTAATAAGGATCACTCTTCTATTTTCTTACACCCAGACTTATGGACAGTACCATTAACACAACGACCTAAAAGACTCCATTGGGACTGGAGTCAAATTTCATACTTTCTCACATGTTCTGGCCTTCCTAGATATCTTTGTCAGGGGAATGTAGCCCGATCTGGCCTTCTTTTTTCCTCCTTTCCATTATGGCATTGATTTTCCCAGGTTAGCAGTCCTGTGCACTCAGAGAAGCAAGTCCCACTTGGAGCAGCATGGGAAATGGCAGATTTTCAGCTAGAGCAGGTGGAGACCCAGCCCAGAGTGGTGTCTCGCAATGAAGCTGGAAGCCTGCACTCAGGACACCAGGAGTTGCTGAACCAAAAGCGAGACCATCAGCCCTTACTCAGGAATGGTAAGAACAGAACTCAAAGCATGTCCAGTGCAGAGATCATGACAGATATATTTTGGAGCCCAAATTCCATCACTTGCTCAGGGTAGAGCCCCTTGAGTGTGTGTATATATATATGTATATATATATATATATATATATTGGAGAGAGAGAGAGAGAGAGAGAAAATTGCATATTTGGGGAGAGAGACTTCATTTGCTTCAAGAGTTGGAAATATGTTTGTCATAAGTCAAAGGGTTTTTAAAGATGGGATCTAGGAAAATTTAGATTGCCCAGGCTGACTTCAAGGTTTCGCAATGTTGTTTAAAATCTTAATTCTGTCGGCTTATATATGCATTTTTGACTGATTATAAACAACTCAAGAAGATGTTGAAAAGGAAAAACATTGATTTTCAAAAATTGACTCAAAAATAAGGCATCACAGAAGTGAAATATGAGAGTGATAAATAATAAGACATCATAGAGAAGGAACCACTGATGTTCATAGCTGCCCTTGACGTTAGTGAATGAAGTCAAATATAAGGAAATGAACACCCTAACCTTCCCAGTCCACAGTGATCTCTCCATCCCCAGAGTGTCGTGTCAGACTAAAGAGAGGAATGAAAGATCACTGAACCTTCAGTAAAAAGACTTGAGTTTATACACAATGGAATATTACTCAGCAATCAAAAAAGATAAACCCATGCAATTTGCAGCAACATGGATGGAGCTGGAAGGGATCATGCTCAGCGAAATAAGCCAGAAAGAAAAAGAAAAATACTGGATGGTCTCACTCATAGCAGGAATTTAGAAAACCTAGATAAGGGACCAGGAAAAAGACTAATTATAATAAAGTAAAAATCAAAATCAACAAGCAACTATAAACCAGAGACACACTGGTGGGGGGAGGAGGGATTAGGGTCATAATAGGAGGGTAGGAATTGTATGGCGAATATAATCAAGATGAAAATGCATACATGGTGCAAAAATGAAAAATAATGTAAAATATATATAAAATGAAAAAATTAATAAAGTCTAGCAAAGTTAAAAAAAAAAAGACTTGAGTTTATATCCAGTTTCTGCCCCTCTATTTAATCTTGGGAAAGTAATACAAAAAGGGACATGAATGCAAAGAGGAAGAGATTAGGCTTTAGAGGCAGACAACCTAGGCTCAAAACCTAGCTCTGCCATTTTTTGTCTGTGTGGCCTTGGTCAGGTTACCTAGCTTCTCAAACTTTCCATTCTCTTATCTGTAAATGGAAAATAGTAAGATTGTTAGTGTAGATTAAGAGAGGCATAGTAAAAGGGCCAATCATGCTCAGTAAATGTTAGTTTCCTTTCTCCCATAAGGGACTTAGTTGGATAAATTCATGGTATTAAGGAATTCCCAGGGTGTTAAGGAATTCCTAAAGTAGAAAAGTTTGTTGAGGTATTTACTGGGGGAATGAAGGATAGAAAATGTGTGGAATGGCTATCTCATAAAAGTGAATTTATTCTATAATTTCAGCTGGTGAGCCTAAGCTGCTGTAGAAAGCAGTGGATACGCTTTTGAATTCTCAGTCCACAGTAATATTTATTCTTGAAGTTTCCTCTAGATAGTGAGTTCTAGAGTAGGGGTTAGATTTGCTTCATCTAAATTTACATAGCTACTTTTCACCTTTTGAGGGGTGTATTTGCCCAGAGTATTCAGTACTGTGTCTCTGTGTATGCCATCCTCTTTAGAACAGTATACACTCAGAGCAGACTAATGTGAGAGGTTGCAAAGTGGTAATTTACATGCCAAATCATGCTTGTTTTATTTCACCTTGGTATAGCTGCTATACCAAGGCCATAGTCTCACAATGACACATCAGCTGGAGCTGAGCATTGGCTGTACCCTCTCAATAGAGTATGTGCACTTTAAGTTCCCCGTAGCCTATACCTGACCATTTAATGATGTCCTTACTTACTCCCAAAAAGCATCTGTTTATGAACCCTGCCTTAGGGTACTGTGGTTTTAGGCATTGTTCTGAACACATTGAGAAAAGATAAATTCATATTTATTAGTTTTTTATACATGTTTATTTCTTAAAAGGAGAAGCAGCATGAATTAAAGGATCAGAGCCTGGAGCGCTGACTGTTTCTTTCTCTTCTTACAGCTCGGTCTTCTCCCTGGGTTCCTGCTTCTGCTGACGATTGGAACACTGTAGATCAGGAAGTAACAACCACGCTTCTTCCTGTTGTGTCCCAGGTTAGTTGTACTTGTTCTCTCTGGCCTTTCTTCTTAGGGTCACAAATATTTCCTTTGCCTTCTCTGTCCTCAAACTTGTAAAAGTCCAAGAGATGTTTTCCCCCTTGTTCCTTTTTTAGAAAAGATTAGACCCAGCCATCTGAGTAATGGGACTCCTCGTTGGATCACTTCTCTTAGGATTCTTTATAGTGTCTTCTGCCTCATTGACACATAACATACACTTGCTTCCTTAATTTTAATTCTTCTTTGGGGCCCATCTGTGCTTCGTACATAATCATTCAGAGACCTGTATGATTATCTTGGTAGTCACTGCTATTACTGTTGTTACAGGGGCCGATGAAAGATGTACACATGGCAAGAGGTTTTTCCTTCAAGAAGAGTGTGCGTCAGGTTCCTGCTCACAGAGACCTCTACTATGATACTAGGAAGGACAGTGTTGGGAATGTGGTCTCCCTGGGTAAGTATTCTTCACCTTTGCAAATAAAAACCATGGGGATTTCTAATATATTCATATCTGCTGATGATAAAATGGTTTTAAATGTTAATACTTTAAAGACCTCCTTCAGTCATTTCTGTGGTCATACCAGACATAATAATCACTTATCCATGTTCTTTTACCTCACTCATTCCTTTCTTCCAGTTTAAAAATATTTTTTCTTGTAATGTAGTGATTAAAACATTGGACAGGTGTTTTTATATTTATATTGCTTATCTGAAAACATGCACACTTCCACTATACTAAAAGTCACATTATGTTTTTAGGATATATTTTTACTTAACACAGTACCCTAATACTTTGTGCAGTGCCCAACATAAGTATCCAGAAAATATTTGTTGGGATGGATCTTATAAATGGAGGAAAAGAAGTAATTTCAATACAGTGCTTAAAATCATGTTATGAATTATTTAAATAGCTACAATTTACATAACCACTGAAATGTCACTTTACAAGCAAATTTTTTAAGAATTTTATCATCCACGTTAGTAGGGATAAATGTGATTCACATGTGAGCTATAAATCAAAAACTACTTATGAATAAAATTATGACCCTAAAATGTGCATTAAGGCTTACTATACATACTACAAACTTGTGCTGCTGTATTAATAGGGTTAGCCAGTAAATAACATTAAAAATTCCCTGGTGGCAGTAGCACATTTAAGAGATTCAGTAGCTGTACTGGACAGAACAATAATAGAACATTTCTTTCCTTGCAAAAAGTTATGTTGAACAACACTGTATGTAGATGCTAAAGTATAGAGATGACAAAATAGACCATGTTAAATTGAGTGACTAAACCAACATTTATATCTAATTTTTTTAAAGATTTATCCACTTACGCATACAAGAGCTGGGGTACAGGCCAGAGATGTGGGGGTGAGAGGATTCACCAGAGACAGAGTGGGGAACAGAACAGGCAGATCTACTGAAATACACTGCTGAGGGGAGCAGTGGGCGAGTCAGGAGAGGTCTGCTGCACCATGTGGCCCGCTCCCTGGCCAGCTGGGGATCGAACTCGTGCTGCAGAGGCTGTGGACAGCTTCACAGGTTGTGTCTTAAACCCTGTGCCACCAGGGAGGCCCCAACAATTATATATAATTAGAAAACAATTTAAGCAGTTGGAGAAAACAACCAACTTAAGATAACACCAATGACATTATGCCGGTAACAAAGCGTTTTTCTCAAGGTAGCAGACATCCCAGCCATCTGCCTAGCTGTGTGCATGATAGATGTTCCCTAGTGTGCCTTGAATCACTAGTAAAATGCTGCATTAGAGTCTTTAGTAAAATCTTCCACAAATGGGATGGGGACCATATTTGGCGATTTCAGCCTAGCCCCTTCATGTATAATTAGTTATGGAAAGACACATGTCCAGAATCACCTGTCCCAGTCTTTCATCATAGATTTTACAACAAACCTGTTGGGCACTGGACACTAGATGACCATCTATTTAATAGATAACCATCTTCTTAGTAGTCCCAGCACCTCTTTGAATAAAGGGTATTATTCTCCCAGAGAGATTAAGAAACTTCCCCTGGTTAGAAAGTTAATTAAGTGTAGAACTAGGATTAAAATCTAAGACATGTTGGTCTCTACAATATTATAACAGAAATTCAATTTTCTTCCCTATTCTTACATCTCTTCCCTATTAACTTTGCCAGATGTATCCAAAACATCTTGGTTTCACATCTCTCATAGCTTCAGTGTCTGTATGTGTGTTAGAGCATGAGGGATCATGGAGAACATACATAAGTACATTTTATTTTATAAGTAACAAATATTGGTTAGGAGCACACTATGAATCTAATAAAATGTTAGATAGTGAGGGTAAATAACAGGTAACAAACTATGTGTTTCTTACCCTAAAAAATTTTCCTTTAAAAATTAGCAGTGGAGTGAAGCTGTCTGCAGCCTCTGCAGCGCCGGTTCAATCCCTGCCTGCTGGTGAGGGTCCCGCATGGCGCGGCAGACCTCTCCTGTCACACCTGCTACTTCCCTCAACAGTGTATTTCGTCAGTCTGCCTGTTCTGTCTCTGGTGAATCCTATCACCCTCCCGTGCATCTGGCCTATACCCCGGTTCTCATATTAATAAATAAAATAAATCTTTAAAAATAATATAAATAAAAATAAAAATTAGCAGTGGAAATAAGTAGTACATACATGAGAAGTAAAAGGGCAGAGTAAGTTAGTGCCCAAGAACTTGTGTAAGAATAACTATACTGAGGCACTGTCACAATTCAAGAAGAGTTGATTTGGACAAGGCCTTTATTTTTGTGAGGTTTTTTTCCATTATTTTTTAAATAGAAATAGCATTGTATGAGTTTCAGGTTTACGTCTTTGAAAATGAACATAAAAATAAATCTACATCTACATTAATTAAGTTCACCACTAAAAAAATCCAATTCTGTACTTCACCTCAACGTCTAAGTGTGAAGAAATTGTCCAGGAGAGTACACTACAGAGACTGGAGTATGCAGTGATCACCTCTATGTCTAGCATTGACTATATTTCTCTTCCTATAGGAAGTACAGTGTCAACATCTAACAAGATAGCCCGGTTGGAGCAAAGAAAGGAGCCATGGACCATAGGTCTACATTCTACTAATAAGAGGAATATTCTGCGAAGCAGCTACATCAAGGAAAAGTCAATTCATGCTGTTCAGATCCCTGCAAGGAATGCAGGAAAAACGTGGAGAGAGCAACAGCAGTGGGGTTTAGAAGATGAGAAGATAGCCGGTGTGCATTGGAGCTATGAGGAAACTAAGACTTTTCTTGCAATTCTTAAAGAGTCTCGCTTTTATGAGACACTTCAGGCTTGTCCCCGAAACAGTCAGGTATATGGTGCTGTAGCGGAATGGTTGAGAGAATGCGGCTTCCTCCGAACACCAGAACAATGTCGGACCAAGTTCAAAAGTCTCCAGAAGAGCTATCGAAAAGTGAGAAATGGCCATGTGCTAGAACCCTGTGCCTTCTTCGAGGACATGGATGCTTTGTTGAACCCTGCAGCCCATGCTTCATCCACTGACAAGCCAAAAGAGGTTATATCTCTCCCCAAACTAAAGAGAACTGGTATCACTGCTGAAGAACAGATCAGTTTGGTGGAAGACGAAGAAGCAGCAGAAGAATCTGATGGTGATGAAATAGGCGTTGAATTTCTCCGGAAACCTGAGATGCGTGGTGCCCCTGTCTTGTTTCAGAACCTGAGTGGTAAGAATTGTGCTTTTGTTTTTCTTGCATGAAATTGGATGGTGTGGGCTTGTGGTAAAGAAATAGACAAGAAGTGACCAAACCCAAGGAGTGCTGCAACAAGTGCCTGGACCCCAGTCACTACGATTGGCCACACACTATGAAAAAGTACTCTCAGGTTTGTTACTCTGAGTTACAGCACTGAGAGGCTGTGGAGGATTCTTTTCAGGTGAGAGCACTGCATGAATTGTGAGTACTTTTGTCCTGTGGGAAAAATGTAAGTGGAGTCAAAGGATTCTCAGGATTGAACATTATCTGAGAATTGGTATAAAGCCATCAGTTGTACTAACTTGTAATCAGTCAAGGGTACACTATTACTCTGGATAGCCAGTAAAAGAATGTGTAACTGACCCCCCAAAAAAAAATGGAAAAAAAGAAATTCTAAACAAAAAGGAGAGAAAAGGGCATACAAAGTAGAAGACTCAAATGAGAAAAAGATACTAAGATGGTAAACATAAATTGAAATACATCATTAAACTACAAATCAAAAGACTAAGATTATCAAATTCTTAAAAAAAAAAAAAGTAAGAACCAGAGACATTGAAATCAAAAGGATAGAAAAGGATACACCATATAAAAAAAAGCTGGTGTTTAAATTTAGGGACTGGGATGTGCAGAACTACACTGCCAGCTAACAACAGTTTGACCGCAGACACATCATGTACTATCCTGAGCTTCAATTTTCTCAATTTCAATACAATATGTCTGAAATGTCAGAGTTGTTGGTGTTAAATGAGATCATATAGGTGAAGGCATTCTGCAGATGTTAAGGTGCAGTAAAACGTTGCCTAGTATCACTGTTATTAGTAATGTTTCTCTGCCTTATGGGAAAAATGATCAGTTCTTATAGAGAATGAGAAAAATAAATTGGACTAGGAGGGTTAGGAATGTACCCATGACTATATTCGGAAGAAACATCTCAAGAAAAAGATGGGAAGATGCAATGTAGGCATATACAGATATTCATAGCTTAGAAATCCAGCTCTTGGAGTTTGTGGGAACCAGTGATAGAACAAGAAGAGTAGACCCAACAACAGAGAGCAGAAATGAGTTTGTTTCTACTACAGATATAAAACACAAAAGCACACTTAACAGACTTATTCAAACACATCATGAGAAATTTTATTTTGCTATAAAAGCAGAACTTTCATCTCTCAAAATAGAGGACTCAGTGACATCAAAACTACTCTGTTCAAAGTTCTCTTCAAGGAAAACTGGTTAAAAAGATGATAGGAACTTTATGGGGAAAGTTCCTGCTCCTAGTCCATTTTTCTCAATTGTTTTTGAAAGACAGCCAAATCCTTAGTCACTATAGCGTGAAGATTTGGGGGACTGCATATGTACTCTGCCAAGTAAACTCTGAAATCCCTATTACCAATTTTAGTTTAAAAATTCAATAAGTATTTTCTCTTTATATATTCATTTGAATTATTATCTGTACAACTTGAGTCTTCCTATTCAGAAACGAAGTGTCTCCATTTTTATAGTCTTTTATGTCTTTCAATACATTATTACAAAGTTTTTATATACAAAATGAGACCTTGTTTTTAGCAAAACTTATTCCCAGGCATTTTATAGTCCCTGTTGCTACTGTGAGTGGGATTTGTTTTCTTTGACCCCATCTACTTTGTAATATGTGAAGGCTACAGATTCCTTATACCTTTGAACTTTATCTTTGAACGGCAGGTGTGCACTGGGGCTATGAGGAAACCAAGACTTTTCTTGATATCCTACGTGAGACTCGGTTTTATGAAGCACTTCAAGCTTGCCATCGGAAAAGTAAGTTGTATGGTGCTGTAGCAGAACAACTGCGAGAGTGTGGCTTCCTTCGGACACCAGAACAGTGTCGAACAAAGTTCAAAAGCCTCCAGAAAAGTTACCGCAAAGTGAAGAATGGTCACGTACTAGAGTCCTGTGCATTCTACAAGGAGATGGATGCCCTGATTAACTCTCGTGCACCTGTCCCCTCCGCCAACACAGCAGAGCAAGTCCCATCACCCTCAACTCAAGAAAGAGAAGATATTGAGATTGAATCCCAGGAACCTACAGACTGGGAACCTGAGGACACCTCACAGGAGGCAATAGTAGAGGATTCTGGCAGTGAGAGAATGAGTGAGGATGAAATTGTGCAAGTGTCAGAATTCCAGGGACCTGCAGATCTATTACAAAGTCCAAGTGGTAAGTATCGTCAAGGGGTTGTAGTCTGAAAGAGGAAGAAGTGTGATTTACTGAAGAGTCAGTACATCTGGCACATCATTCGTAAATACTTGCCCATTAAATGGTCGAGGGTCCTGTGCTATTTGAGAGAATGAGCTGTAGCAATGAATGAAGTCCCCTTTCTCATGGTGGTTCTGTTTAAGGGAGAAGCTTACATTCTAGTGATTCAGTCTTTGGATCTCAGCCTCGATTTTTTTCTATATGGGTCAGACAATGTTTTATATCTCTTGAAAATACTGTGGGGAAGATCTTAGAATTATGCATGAGAAAAACGCAAATGAAGAAGATACTGTCATAAGCTCAAAACAGAAATATCTGTTATGTGTGATGTGCATGAGAAAATGAATAGGCAGAGACAAGATAAAACAGACTTTCTCTGGTTCTGAGCTTCACTGTGTATTTTCCTCATGGGCTTCTTTCCCGCAGTCCAGACTAGTATTACCACTTCACATACCATGGTTTTCTCTCTTTCATCCCACTTGTCCTTCGCACTTAAAACCATAGAAATATTTTTGACACCTTCTCTCCCATTGTTTACATACAGACAGATGATACTGGGTTTTTTTCAGCTGTTGTAGAACTATCTATTCCAACTCTAGCTACTATAGTCACTATCTTAGTTTAGTCTTTCTCTATCTCTTGCCTAGACTATTGTAAGTTCCCAAGCCAGTTTTCTCCATCAGTCTTGTATTAAGGTTCCATGGCCATCCTTAATCTGAGCTCATATTTCTGCCCTTACCTATTATTATTTTCCTTCCTGCATTCTCCCCAGCCCATGCCACAGTCACTTGGGATTGCAGGACATCAACAGTTTCCACTTAATATGTGAAGGGAGATATATGTTTAGGGCAGGTATATCAGATGCTTAATAATCAGGGTTTGAGAATAAAGCCTACCTTTACAGCTTGTGAAATACAGATAAATCGAGGTGATGCCTGAATTTAGTTCTAAATCATCTGGGTCACGGGTGCAAGGAGTATGTGGCAGTGGGGATAGAACAAGATTGGCTATGAGTGGATGGTTGTTACAGCTAGGGAAATTTTTCATGGAAGGTCATTATATATACTGACCTTTTTACTCTTCTATATGTTTAAATTTTCCATAATAAAAAACGTATCCAGAACCACACAATTGATAAATGATCAATGTAGAATCCGAACCAGAGTTGTCTGATCCCTAAGCCTCCATTTCTTCACCACATTGTGTTCTCCAGCCATAAAATTTCCTGGAAAAGCTGGAATTCAGGATGTTCTTTGTAGTGAATGTGGAATGTAGATGAGAGAGTCAGGAGAAGATCATTTCAGTTTGAAGAACAGTGCGAATTTACATTTGAATTAGTATGGTCTGTGCATGAGACAACCAGAAAAACAAAGTGGCAGGAGCGTTTGAGGAGAAGAAAGAAGGATTCTTAGATGTGATGAGTTGTGGATGAACTTAGAAATACATTGAGGAATTTGCACATGATCACTAGAATCTACTCTCAACAATCTACTCTCAACAATCTACATCTGCAGTCTACAGAGAAAAGAAACAAGCAATTGAACTAAATAAAACAAAAACAGACTTTTTGCCTATAAGACCAATTAGTAGTTACCAGAAGGGAAAAAGGCAGAGGGTGGGTAAATCAGGCCAAAGGGGACAATTGTATGGTCAAGGATAGAATTGAATTCGTGTTGATTCTCAATGAATACCTGAAACATGTTACAATAGAGTATTACTTCCATTAAAAAAAATTTAATGTAAAAAAAAAATTTTAATGTTAAAAAATAAACACTAATGAATTATAGTATATCTTAGTATAAGTGTAGAATACTAGACGTAGAATGATGATAGAATGGAACTTCAAGGAGATAGCATGCTAAGTTGCTCCTATTTTAGTCATATTGATGGAGAATAAATGGCTTCCATTTTAATTCAGAAAACATTTTTGAAGACCAGTTTTGTACTGGAAATTATTTGTACATTGAACTGAAAGAAAAGAAGACATAATGGATTATGGAAGAGCCACTAGACCTGAGGCCATTGAAGTATCCAGGGGTCATAACATAAAACCTTATAGACCGTGTTTATATCAATACATTTAATGGTGTGAAATTTTTATTGTCCTTTTTTTCAGATTTTGAAATTGGAAGTAGTGTCAAGGAGGATGCAACACAGGTAATATATAAGGACGTGGAGCAAAATAGAGCATTAATAGAAAAGTCTAAAATGGTTGTTTCCCAAAACACTGATCTCGGTAAATACCATAAAAGAGAATGCATCTCAGGAAGACAATGGGAAAATCTTCAAGGAATCAGACAGGGAAAATTAATATCTCAACCTAAAGACTTAGGGAAAACTATAGTACATCAAAGGTCCTTCATGGGAAAAAGACCCTACAGACTTCTCAAATATGGAGAAAACTTTGGAAGGAGTACTCGCCTTATGTGCCGGATGACCCATCAGAAGGAAAATCCTTATAAGTGTAGTGTCTGTGGGAAGTGCTTTGGTCGAAGCAGGAGCCTCATCAGACACCAAAGAATCCACACAGGAGAAAAACCTTTTAAATGTCTTGACTGTGGAAAGAGCTTCAATGACTCCTCAAACTTTGGTGCCCACCAGAGAATCCACACAGGAGAGAAGCCCTACAGATGTGGAGAGTGTGGGAAATGCTTTAGCCAGAGCTCAAGTCTTATTATACATCAGAGAACCCACACTGGAGAAAAGCCCTATCAGTGTGGAGAATGTGGGAAAAGCTTTACCAACAGTTCTCATTTTAGTGCCCATAGGAGAGTCCACACTGGTGAGAATCCCTACAAATGTGTGGACTGTGAAAAAAGCTTCAATAACTGTACAAGATTTCGAGAACATCGGAGAATGCACACTGGAGAGAAGCCTTATGGCTGTGCCCAGTGTGGCAAACGTTTCAGCAAGGGTGCTGTTCTCGCCAAACACCGGGAGGTTCATATGAGAGAAAGGCTCTTGCCTCATCCTCCATCTATGTATTCCCCAGAGAACCCATATAAGGGGAAGACTGATGAATTCAGGAAAACTTTTTGATAGTGATCTCTTTTTCTCCTAACTGTCCCTCTAGCCATTTCACCCAAATCTCACTCTTGAAAGCAATCCTTTCTTAGCTATAAAGTGTAATGCCCAAGATTGGCTTGAGAATATACAAACTAAAGACTTGGATCCAATTCTTACCTCTCCCTCTGTTTGGATCAGTCTGCTCCTCTCCTCCTGTGTGTCTCAATTTCTCCTTTAAAAGAGTGGGGAAGCTTTGAGTTTAGAATGAAATTTTCTTCAGTATGTTGAGGCCACGCTTGGATTTCTGAGTCCAGCAACATTCAAGATCCTTCAGTGTAGGCGAGAGTTGTTTTCAAGGAAATGAAAAATGCTGAAAGTTTTTTTGTTTTGTTACCTGCCATACGAGAGCCTGGATGCAACTTAAATCACAGAGTTAAGTGTTTGGGTAGAACTTTCAGTTGTCTGATTAGAACAACATCAAATCCATGTTGGTTTTAAAGATACGAAAGGAGACAGAAGATGTTATAGCTTCCTTCCGAAGCCTATTGCGGTGTTCCTTTTTTGTGTCAAGAAGTTGATCCAAATAGTGAGGTCGAATCCTTGTGTTGTCATTGAAATCTCGTTACGACATGCCTTGCCCTCCATAGAGAGGAGAAGCAACTGATCACTTGTCATCCTTTGTATCAGCCTCTTCTTTACCTAAAGACTGAAACCCCCTTGGGCTGCTGCTTCTTCAGCCTATATGTAATCCAGTTCCTTTCACTGTTTCTCATAAGTCCTACACTTACCTCTTAATTGTTCTGGGTGCTGTTGTCTGATTCTTCTGAACTACCATGCCCTTCTCAGATTGACTAGGATGCATGCTCTTGGTATGTCTCATCCAAATAAAGTAGAATTCCAGACATGTTCTAGTTCTACCCTCTAACTTCTCTGGTTCTTAGGTAGAGCATGAATGGTATGTTGCTGTATTTTATGCCCCCTAGTCCCATACTTCAATATATAATAGTTTTCTAAAACTTTCACTATGGGGGGTGAGGGTCCAGGAAGAAGTGAGGTAGATACCTGAAACATTTAATGTTTCTAAGACTCCATGGGCCTGCTTTAGATCAGCTAGCCACCTCAGTCCAGGCCAGCACCTCCAGAAAGGTTTGTTAAATACTCCATTCTCCTTTCTGAGGCTTCTAGTCCCTATCATAGGATCATAAACCTGCGTAATTTGTGCAACTCTATAGCTCACTGAATGAAAGTAGAGTTACAGAAACTTCTTATCCAGTATGCCATTTTTGTTTTTCTCATTCCTGTTTGTCTGAAAAATCTCTTTGATAACCCCCTAGCACTAGCCAGATAAATATTGAAAGAAAGGTTCAGATAAGGGGATAGTCTTCTATGGAAGTTACAGGTAAGACCCACAAATGTGGCTGTCCACAGCTGGTTGCTTTAGAATGAGGCATTTATATCCTTAACATGGAGGTAAACTGGAGTGGCTTTGCTCTGGGGAGGGAGAAACCCAGAACTGAACCTGTGGTTTATTTTGAGCTTCTCTCTCCTTTGCTGCTCTCTTGTTTGAGGACATCTGGAGTTTGTTGTTTTTTTTTTTTTTTTTTTCTTGAGTATGTTTGAATCTTTTGAAACTTGTTCAGCAGAGTATCAAGGAGGGTTAGACAGTGTAGAAAGAAATCAACTGCAGTGTCAGAATAGGGTGTGGCCTGTGGGAAGGCAGGTGACTCAGGTAAACAGGGATAAATGTTTCTGATTTACATTTGTTGCAAATGTTATGATTGTCCACATCCAGTAGGTGGGTTTCCTCTGTGTTGTCTGAACTATGGACTTCTAATGGTAAGTGCGGTTTCATGTTGGTAGTGTGCCTACCACAGTAAGATGTGTGTAGTGCCAGTGGGTGTGTGCTCATGTTATGTAGATTCTGGAATTCCAACTCTAGGGAAGATGAACATTAATAGAGGTCACTGCTTAGTAATATGTACACAGGATTGATAATTATATTGAAGCATGATTCAGGAAAGTAGATTATTTATAAATATTTATTAAGCACCATTGTGTGCAAGGCCATGTCTAGGCACGGTGAGGGAGATGAACATGAAAGGGGGCGTGGTGCCTGTACCCATGGGACGCAAGTGCAGTGGACAGTGGAGGATGTATTGCATAGAAGGTCCTGCCAGTTATGTTCATGCCAATCACAAGGGACAATGAAAAATCACCTTCACTTACAAGAATTTTTCTGCATTGCCTAGAATCATATTCTGAGGCGCTCTGACTTCCCCAATGGCAGGAAAGGTTCAGACCATTCCATCTCCAATGGAACAAGCTGGTTGTGTCTGAGATTAAGCTGAGGTGGAAATTGGGTTTCTCTAACTATTCCTAATTGTAAGTGAGCTGTCAGGATATGTATTAAATTAATGAACTTTGTCTCTATTCTGAAGAAATAGAAGGTCTTACCCACCGTTTTGACCAATGCTACTAGGACTTTATCTTTTCTCAGCTGAAGCAGAAAGTCTAAATGAATAATGTGTCTTTCATATAACATAGTATTGCCTTTATGAAAATTCATACAAAAGGATTTTTTTTGTCTAGATCTTAGTAACAGGGAAAGTGCTTAGCCTACACAAAATAAAAAAGTATCTTAGGCTGATTTTCATAACTTACTATTCCTCTCTCTCTCTTTGTTCTGGCTGTTGGAAAGTGCAACAAAAGTTACAGCCCACCTCAACCAACTACCTTAAGCCTATATTTAATCCTGTTTAATTTCTGTGAAAATTTTCCTAAATCTTATTTTTTTAAAGTGGTATAAACAAATGGACATTTTATTTTCTGACACCTTAACCATGGCACTTTGGAAACTGGCTTGTGTTTCCTACCTAGGCTTGCTTTGTTACTTCCACAGATACCTCCAGTTCTTACCAGTGATTATATTACACATACAACATAATTACTCATGGAAGGAAAGCTTAGTTTTTTAAAGAGGAAAACTTTACACATATACTGCTCAGGGCAGCCTACCGTGGTGGAATAAGCATTTAGACCAGAAGCCAACAGGGGCAAGTTCTTGTCACTGCCACTTCCTGAAAAATGTCTGGCAAACTGTAGCCTCTCTCTGGACCTTAGTTCTTTATTTGAAGGGAAGTTGAACATGATTGCAAGACTTCTCCACTCTTATGTTAGGTGAGGCTATGGAATGAGTGGTAGCAGAAGAAGACATGATAGATCAAGCTACCCAGCCCGGCTCAATACTGCATGCAGCCTGCAGGCCAGACTGAATCCATGTCATCCTTTAGGAAGAAGGATGCTGCAAGCAGTCCAGACGCTTGCTCAGGAAGGACAAAGGACAGATGACTGGTGTGCAGCAGCAGGCAGCCCCCAAGGAAGGCAGCTGGGGCCTGGAGTAGCACTCGGCAAGTGACTGCAGTGAACGAAGCATATTTTGTGAGGTCTGGTGCCTAATGACAGATAAGACTGAACTATGAGGGAGCTGGGAAAGCCCCAAATGCAAGGAGTGTGTCTGTGTCCTTGTGCAGCTGTCAGCCTCTGCCTCTGTGGGAATGCATTTCAAGTATAAATGTATGTCTGTTCATCGTTTTGTACTAATGTTCACTTAGATGTCTTCTTGAAAACGTGTATGTGAAATAAATGTCTAAAATAAATGACTCCCATTGGCTTTTGCCATAATTTGAAGTATGTCTTCTATTAAAGGAAAAGGGAACTTATCCAAGAGGTAATAAAAACAGATCCTAGCAGCCAAAGAATCTGTCTCATTCCAGTTCACCACTGTCCCCACAGCTAGCAGAGATCTTTCATGAGTCCACAGCTATTCCTGTGCATCTGTCCTCTGACAGTTGTCACTGCCATTGTCTCCAATAATGGTTGGATCTCATTCTGGGGTAGAATTAGCCTTAGCTGCACACACTGCATGTATTCTGGGCAAAGCACTCACCCACAGCCTTTATGGTGAACAAGTCTCTTCAACTTCCCCACATGACTTGGGTCATGAGGTCAATGTAGAGATTGTGCCACTTGCCAATGATGTATTTCCAACTGTACTCCCAGGAACTATAGGAAGAGCCTTTTCCCCTACACATGAGGTAGACTCCAGACAAAGTGTCACTTGGACTTTATAAGCCAGTTGAAGCCAATGGCAGAGTCTGTAACAGTTGTAATTAGTCATAATCTGAGCCTGTAAGTTTTCTATATATTCCTTGAATAAGTGGCCATGACCTTTCTGGAGGGATAAAGACAGCATTTACATGTGATGTTATATTAGCGTTCTACAAGTTTACCTGTCCTCCCATTCCTTTACAAAAATTTAGATCTTTAGCTCACTCAGGCCTGGAAATAAGAGGAGAGACTTTCAATATCTAAGGGCACCAAATTTTCTATTCCTATAAACCAGTTAAGGCAGTAATACTTTAAGGGGGAAGAATGAATGTTTTGTGTTTCAAGCACTAAAAAGAACATAGCCAGTCATGTCTCCAATCTTTAGGATGGGTCCTGGGATGTGGCGGTGGGGGGACGGGGGTAGAAGCTTTGGATGTCAAGAAAAGTGAATGCCTAAACCCCCACGACAGTAAGGCTCTGATGAGAAAGGGATAAAGAGCAGGAGACCTGAAAAGACTCAGCCTGAGGATCACTTGGATACACAAGCATAAAGTCCATGGAGCAGGTCAGCGTGCTTGGTGTGGAAGTTGTGGAATTGTCAGAAAAGGACCCCCCTTTCAAGAAAACACATTGGCCTAGTTAAATGTGACCTAAGGACAGCACACACCATCTCCATGGACCACGCCCAACTGCGGCACCATGTGGCAGAGAGGGGAATGGCAGCGGCGGAAGGCACAAAGCAAAAAGCTGGGGTATGAGTAGAAAATGGGCATACTTCCCTTTCAGTTTGCTTAAGCTCTGAGTCCTTGGACAGTCTGGCAAAGAAGAGATGCAAGAGTGTGAAACTAGGCTTCGCAACAACGTGGCAGTAAGGACTCCAGCCAATTCTGGCAAATGAATCAGTACTTGTTCCCCAAGTGTTTAGACCAATGTGTTTAAACCTGTTGCAGCACAAAGGATGGTAGCCTGTCCCAAATCCTGGGTTATATTTAAGCACTACCACTAAATCACTGTATAACCATACAGTAGTCCATAGTCCAATTATCTATCCTCCTGGGGCTTGGGCTGGCCCATGCCCAGCTAGTAAGAGGCACTAGGCCAGTGGACTCTGTGCTGGACTTTACGGGATCTGAGGTCTGTGATCTGGAATTGACCTAGAGTTGAAATTGGACTGTGGAATCTGAGTTCCAGACAGAGCTCTGGACGGGTCTAGCTGGTCAGGAGACAGGCTCTGTGCTGGCCTCCATTCTAAGTACCTCCCACAGCCCCAGACTCTGATCTGGGCCTGAGGCTTCACTAGACTCTGCACAGAAAAGACCAACTCAGACTTTTGCTTTTTCCCAGCTATCACCATTTCTGAAATGAAAAAGCAAGCCAATGCATACAGAGGAAATACTGCACTATTTATTACAAAGCTGAACTGACAGCTCAAGGGGTAAAGAAATTGCTCGCAGAAGGCCCTAGTGTAACAGGGGTCAGGGAACCCAAGAAAGAAAGAAAGTGTGGGAGGCCTGAAGTGATGTGCAGCCTCCTCTTCCAACTGTTCTTCTGCTCCTCAGAGCTTCCCTGTCAGGAAAATTTCTTCGGTTGTGCTGTTTCTGCCTCTGGGTAGTGCTGAACAACATGTCCACAGGCTGAGGTGTCAGGCGAGCATCCACATGACTTAGTAAGAGTCCCTCTATCTGAGAAGCCAGGCCCAGGTCAGAGGAATCATCCAGTCACTCCTCTGGCCTCTGCTCTGGCAGGAAACACGGAAGCTGCCTTGTCTAGAGTCCAGGGGGTCCACAGGGGGCACCTGGCAGCAGGAATTCCACCTGAGCTCAATGCCCCTTTAGGATCAGACGGGTTTTGGCATCTCCAATGAAGAACCTACAAAACAGATGGTCCAACTTCACAAAAAAGACACGCAGATGGCCAACAGGCACATGAAAGAGTGCTCATCATCACTTATTTTTAGGGATATGCGAATCAAAACCACCATAACCCACATCCAAAAGACCAGAAATAGCAAGCGCTGGAGAGGGTGTGGAGAAAAATAAACCTTTCCACACTGTTTGTGGGAATGGAGACTGGTTCGGCCCATGTAGAAAACAGTACGGAGATTTCTGAAAATATTAAAAGTGGACCTGCCATACAACCCAGAAAGTCCACTCCTAGGTATCTATCTGATGAATACAAAGACACCAATCGGAAGGCAACCATTCACTCCCGTGTTCACTGCAGCACTATTTACAACAGCCAAACAGTGGAAATAACCTAAGTACCCACATACAGATGAATGGGTTAGGAAAATGTGGCACGTGTGTGTGTGTGTGTGTGTGTGTATTTTGTTTCACACAATCCCCTCCAGTTCCATCCATGTTGCCACAAGTGGCAAGTTTATCTTTTTGGATATCTGAGTAGTATTCCATCTTGTGTGTTTGTGCGTGTGTGTATCGTGTGTGTGTATTCCACACAACAAGATGGAATATTACTCAGATATCCAAAAAAGATAAATTTGCCACTTGTGGCAACATGGATGGAACTGGAGGGGATTGTATGAAACAAAATAAATCAAAGGAGAAAGACAAATATCAAATGGTGTCACTTATATGTGGAATATAGAAAAACCAAACAAAGGGTCCAAGAAAGCCAAAGAAACCCTAGGAAGCTGACTACAAAACTGAGGCAACCAGAGGGCAAGAGGGAGGGGTGATATAAGTGGGGAGGGAGTACGTAGGACTATGGGGATGGACCGTGGGAGGTCTGGGGGTGGGGGTGGTATAGTAACAGTACTTAAAGGGGAAGATACTATACCTTTAAACACACAAAATGATGCAAGCCAATATGTAAGCCAATGATGTAAGCTCAATAAAAATAAATAAGTTGGGGGGGGCGGTATGGTGTGGGGAGTAGATGGCCCAGCAAGATCTCTGAGCCTCTGGAGAGAGACCCAGCCCTTCATCAAATGGCTCCAGACCCAGAATTCTCCAGGAAGCTGCTTTCCTGCTCTTCAGTCTCAATAGCCCCATTCCCTTGGAGAAAGGAAGAGACTCTTCCCTTTTCTATTTGGTTTCCCATCCTTTTCCTAAAGGCACTCATCTCTGCCATTCTGAAAGCAGCAGAGGAATTATGAGTGATACTGTTGCTATGCCCTAGGCTAAGTAAGACTGCAGCTGGGCAGTGGTGCAAGAGGTCCAGCTCAGCCCAGCCCAGTGCGTGTCCTCTCCCAGACAGCAGGGACCACCCATGTGACCCGATGCAGACACAATCCCTGCACAATCTGGAGCCAAGAGAACAGGCCCCTACGGATCCTTGAGGCCCACAAAAGAGAACCCCAGGAGAAACAGACAAGCAGTATTATCTTTCTGGTAATATTACCTTCTCCTTTGCCTTATCCAGGGAGTACTGTTCACGTTGTCTTTTGTGTGAATAGTGTCTCCTGGCACCCCTGCTCTTGGGGGCACCTCTCACCTGGTTTGCTATGTGGACGGGACACCACCCCCCCCCAGAGTTGTACAAAACCCATGTGGAAAACTACTCATGCCCTATTCTTGTTTAGGTAAGATTGACCTCACCCCAACTCCAGGACGAGGCTCATGCTCCAGACACAGTCCCTAAAAGTGCCAGTATGTAAGTGCAGTGCAGTGCCATGACTGCAGGGGCTGATTCAGAGGTTGGCATCACCCAACCTGGGTCAGCCCAAAGCTGTTGAACATCAGACCCAGGACTTCTGCAGGAGTGGTTCTCTCTCTGGAGTCGTTAAGCTGTGAGGATAGAGGCCTAGAGGGCCTGCCTGGTGAGCACCTTCACCTCCCCTGGAGAGAAGAGCCTGTCTAAGTGTGAGGCTAGCAGAGCTGAGAAAACCGACGCCCTAAAGTCATGGTATGAGCACTTACCTGAAGGTCCTGCTGCCTATAAACTTTTTAATCATGTGAGCCAATGAACCCCCTTTATGGTGGAAGCTGTGTTGAGATGAATTTCAGCCACTGACAACCAAGAGTCCTACAGTCATAATCTTTGTCTCTAAAGAAGTCTCCTCTTTCCCTTCTCCAAACCCATGTGAGATCCTAGCCCTCTAGCTACCCCCCAGTGACCTGTCACACACCTACCTGATGAGCAGCCCCACAACCAAGCTGCCCAGGAACGGGCCCAGCCAGTAGATCCATTGATAGGTCCAGTAGTTGGCCACCACAGCAGGTCCAAAGGCCCGGGCAGGATTCATGCAGCCTCCAGACACAGCACCTCTGCAAACACCCAGACATACCAGTCACCTGGGTCCCAGCCAGACTCAGCTCACCTCATGCTTGTTTCCCCAACTAGGCCTAGGGATCCACCTAGAAACCATCTATAAGTTACCCTGTCATAGGATTAGGGAGGAGGGACCCCAAAGAAGACACAGGTAAGAGCACTATTAGCACTAAGAACTGAAAGGCTTGACTCCCCCGGATATACAAGATCTGCCATTCCCATACACCCTTCTAGAAGAAGGCCCACCAAAGGTGTCCATTCAGAGATGGAAGGAAGAGAAGATGGATCTAGTCCTCTCCAACATTGCTAAAGCGGAGTCAAGCAGTTGTCCACTTCATGAACTTTGGAGGCAAGCTGGTCTAGATTCAGAACCCAGGCCAACTATTTCTACTGTAGCCCCTTTGTCTAACCTCTCAGTTGGAGCAAAAGCACCTATATCTCAGGTTATCATCAAGAGTGAATGAGAAAATGCATGTAGAGCCCTTGGCTCACATGAAATTCACATGCAAGTGTTAACTTCAAGCTACCTGACCCATTGGAGGCCTAGCTGCCCCACAAGTGTGAGGCCCAGGATCTCTGTAAGGAGAGGATTCCCAGGAGCACCTCTCTCTTTCTGGTGTCCGTATCCTGTCCATCCACCCAAGTTGGGGGCCTGCAACCTCACCCTTCCCAGTAGCCTTTGGCAACCCAATAGCCAAAGCCAAAAGGCTGTCAGTATTGTAAGTGAAGCCAGTGCCACTAGGGACAGCAAAGCATTGCCACAGCTTTATGCATATCCCCATATCCCCAGACTCTACCTCCCAAAGGATGACAGAGTCGGAAAGGAGAGCAGTGAAAAGACTAGACTTGGTTCTGTGTCCAAGAGAAAGGAAGGAAGTGGACATTTGAAGGGCCTCCCCAGCCCCTGTAAGGAGAGACTAAGGCATTTGTGCCAGATCTGTCACTTAATGTGCCACTGCCCAGTGCCCTTAAATAAGTCACAGTGTCCTCTCTGAGCTTCAGTTTCCTCCTGTGTAAAATGGGAGAAATAATCCCTGGCCCAACTTTATCTCCTTAATCCCTTCCCAAACATCCTGAGATACTCGCTATCAAAAAGATAATGGGGGGCCCTCCCTGGAGGCACAAGGGGTTAAGACACAACCTATGAAGCAATCTGCAGCTACTACAGTATGAGTTCGATCCCCAGCCCACCAGGGAGATACCCACATGGCACAGCAGACCTCTCCTGACTCGACTGCTGCTCCCCTCAGCAGTGTATTTCAGTCAGACTGCCTGTTCTGTTCCCCGTTCTGTCTCTGGCAAATCCTCTCATCCCCCACACCTCTGGCCTGTACCCCAGTTCTTATATGCATAAATAAATAAATCTTTAAAAAAAAAAAAAGACAATGGGTATGGCAGCTCTTTTTAAGTCTGAAGTTAAACCCTGGCTGCCCACTGACTGGACAAACACAGGTTGCAGAAATGTTTGTTGACACGATGAAATTTGAAAATTTTCACATGAAAGTCAAGTTTCCTGACTTTCCTGGAGTGAAATTAAAAGTGTCACCCCAAGAGATTGCCAATATTCCCACCCAGCAATAATTTATCATAAGTGAATAATGACATCCCTTTAGATACCACAGTCTCCACCTCTCCCTGTTGTATGCTAGCCATGTCCCCCCTTTGCATTACTTTTGTAACCCCTAGTGGCAACTGAGTTTGTGACTCTCAGGTAAGTTCTGCAGGCTTGATCTCCTTCAGAGATTGGCCTAGGCCTGGGTACGTAGTCCCATCCCCAAGGGGCACTCACCCTGCCAGTATATCTGCTGTGACAGAGAAGCCAATAGCGAATGGGGCCAAAGGGCCCTGTGTCCTCTCGTTGACGGCGCCCATGCATACAGACAGGGCCAGGATTGTGGTCATGACGAGCTCTGCCACCACCGCTCCCGCCACCTGCTCTGGCTCTTGGACTGTCACGAAGGCCCCTCCAGACGCATTCCAGAACCTCTCTTCAGGACTCACTACCTGCAAAGAGAAGCCACTCAGCCTCACAGTGGAGGTGGAGACAGTTGAGAACTGGGGGAGAGGGACTCAAAAGGCATGCCCCCAAATGTTAGTGTGCGCAAAGCATTCTATCCAGCGCAGTCAGATATACCTGGTTCCCCATCCAGGTACTGGGTGACTCGAGATGAGCTAACAGACTTCTTTGAGCCTCACTTTGCCCATCTGTGAAATGGGGCAAACCCAGCAGTGGTACCAGGTGTTCTGGGCCTGAATATAATATCTTACTTTTACAAACTTTGCTAGTAAATCTGAGCAGGTGAGCACATGGCTAGGTCACTGTGCCATGAGAGGTTTCTGCACTCCCCACCCCAGTAGAAAGGACCCACCCAACCCCACTGGAGGAATCTGGAAAATATCTAGACAGTCTTCACTCCCCAACCCCCATCCAACAGCCCCAAAGCCAAAGCCACTTGCCCAGTCCCCTGGGGGAGCACCCACCTTGGCCAAGACGGCCCCAATCATCCCCCCGCACAGCTGGGAGATACAGTACGGGAGAAGCAGCACCAGGTTGAGGCCTCCGATCAGCGTGGCCGCCAGGGACACCGCAGGGTTAAAGTGTCCACCACTGTCTCCCAAAAAGGTAGAAGGAAGTCATGAGGCCAAGGTCCAGGCTGTCACCAAGGGAGTGTGTCCCACCCCACCCCCAGAGGGACTTGCGGTGTCAGGTCAGCCAAGGGCCCACTCCAAGTAGGAAACGGTATGAAACTATGTCCCCAAGGGGCCAGGTGGCGGGGAGAGGGATGTGGGGAGCTGAGAGGGGGAGCAGTCCCCTCCTGCCCTCTCTCTGGAGACTCGGAGGAAAGATGTGGTGGGAGGCCAGCCCTCAACTCCATCCAGACTCCCTCTAAACTCCCTCCAAACTCCCTCCAGCCTTCAGAGGTGTGACCACAGGTTAGAATAAGACCCGGCGCTCCAAATTTGTAGCCCAAAAAAAGGTGTCCTGCTCCACTTAGAGGTAACAAGACCCAAACGAGTGTTCCCAGGTTAACCAGTGAAACTGAACTGGTTAACTGGTTAACCAGTGAAAACCCTGATTCATGTTGAGTACAAAATTCAGATTAGGGGTACACGTTAGACATGGGATTGAGAATCAGCCGTGTAGTTACAGATTCATGATTAGATTGAAATGTGGGGTTTGGGATATGAGAGGAAAGTCGAACCTAGGGTCAAAGGGTCAAAGTTGGCCAATTACCCCCACCCCTTTGGTCTTGGGTACAGAATCTCCTAACCACAATGCTCAACCAGCCCAGGCCCCAGAGCCCTCCCCACCAGTGCCTGCTACCCTCATTGGCATCCCATCTGGTCCCACTAGGATTGAGGTGCTATCCTTAGAGGTGGATCCACTTGCTGCAGAGATGGATATCTTCTCCAAGAGGAAAGTGACCCCAAGCCCCTGCAGAGCACACAAAACCCAAAGTACTTCTCCCCAGTGTTATGATCCCACCAATGAGTCTGCTCGCTCCCCAATGGAAACAGTGCACTGAGCAGGATGGACAAAAGGATTGTGTCCAACATGCTGACATCTGAGGACCAGCTGCCCCGATGGGGCCTGGCCTAGCTCAGACTCTTGGGAGTTTCCTGCATGATTTAGAAGCACCAGCTGAGGCTCCGGCTCAATAGGTGGTGAGCGGAGCAACCAGACCTACTTGGCCTTCATTTGGATCCATGATCAAGCTCAGCCTAGGCTCTAGAGATGAAGTGCAGGCGGGCGGCCCCCAGGAGGCTGTGGAGTTAAAGCCCTCTCTACCCATCAGCCCCGCCCTCCACCACATCACTCCGAGAGTGACACAGCCAGGAGGGGCTGGACTATCCAGAGCACCAGACATGTTCCCAAGACTACACACTCACTAACAACAGAAAATCAAGACATGTTCTTAGTTGATTCATTCATTGTTCACCCAATCAGTATTTATTAAAAACCTACTATGTGCCAGATGTGGTGCTGGGTGCTTTATATTCCTTAGCTTAGATGCATTCAAAGTCAGTGCCTGGCACACAGCAGGTGATGAATAAATATTTGTTTAAAAGCAGATGACCGAATAAGAAGTTTGTATTACAGATGGGCAATATACTTGCAATGGAGAAGTGTGCTCTCTCTAGCCAGCTGGCCTGCTTCAAACCCCAGCTCTGCCACTGAAGAACTGTGTGACCTTCTTCAAGTTACCTAACTTCTTTGTGCCTCAATGATCTCTAATTTACAGGAATGTTTTAAGAGCTTCTTAACCATAATTCTCAACCAGCCAAGCCCCAGAGCCAAGAAGCCCCCTGGACCAGCACCTGCTATGCCCATTGGTAATACATGTACATATGTCATAATACATGCTAGTACTCAATAAATATCAGATGTCCACATTTAACTGCACAGAGAAGCTCAGTTTCTTGCCCTGCATACCCAGCTGGGAAGTGACAAGGACTGCATTCAAAGGCAGTCCACCCCAACAGAACACTGCATTTTTGATGCCACCTGCAGCCTCCATTGAACATTTAAAGAGATTTGTTTGAGTTCTCTTTCATACTAGTTTTCTAGGGAACAGTATATTAATTACAAATGAAAATAATATTTTAAGTTTTTAAATGAATTGAGTGTTCAGATTTACTTTTGAGATTAACTACAGATCCAACACATCCTAGGTCATCCAGGCAGGCACCCCTGCATATCTGGCCACCTCTTGACAGTCTAGGACCACTGCAGGTATGAATGTACCCAGGTGGGAATACCCCCCAGGGCTTTCCCTGCACCTCTGCTTTCCCAGAACGCCTTAGGATGGAGTAAAGCCTCACCTGAAGTATCTGCTCTGGCCCAGCCACCCAGAGGGACTGACCACTTCCCATGGATTGAGCTCTTTATAGCAATTCATTCTCATGCCTCCCAGGAGACTCTGGGTTTGGACCCTGGAGCCTGACCACCCTAGCACTGACACTTTCTAACCTTGGAGAAGTTATATAGCCTTTCTCTGACACAGTTAGAAAATGAGGATAATAATAATAATAATAATAATAATAATAATAATTATACTATCATCTCCCTGTGGGGTCGTTGCAGAATTAAACGAGTTACTAACCTGTGCAGTGCTTGCTTAGAGCATTGCCTAGATGTGGGTAGCAGTAGACATGCTTTGGCTTGAGAAAAATCTTTCTAAAGATTCTCCATTGTTCCCACTTTATCGGTGGGGATATTTGAGTTTAAATAATGACTTACCCAAAGCCACAGAGCTCAGAGCTGCAGAGCTAGGATTTGAAGCTGGCTGGTGTGTTTCCCAGCCCACATGCCTACCCACAGTGCTGCTGGAATCCTGAGTATAGACCCTTGGGGTCCCTCCCCACAGCTCTGCACCCCACCCAGGCTGCCCAGGTAACAGGATGCTGGGGCCGGTCTCACCTGATGTTGCCCAGCGTGGCGATGAGGAGGCCCAGGGCCAGCCCGTGGGCGAGGGCCGGCTGCAACAGCCCCGTGTCCACCCCATTCTCAATGACCGACAGGCACCCGATGAAGATGAAGAGGGCAGAGCCCAGAAGTTCCACCACACAGGGTTGCACAAACTGCTCATACCAGGACCCACACCAGCTGCTCCTCACTCTGGTCTCCTGCCCCTTGCCACCGCCAAGCTCAGGGTCGCTCACAGAAACAGCTGCCTGCAGTGGGAGGAAGAGGAGATGGACATGAGTAGAGGAGCCCAGAAAGAATTGTCTGGCCTCCCCTTCAACCCTGAATTAATTCTCAGCACCCTCTGGATGCCAGGCTGGAGTGGGGGAGGCAGCAAGTGTGCTCACCTGGCCGGACATCACGGCTGAGGGGCAGGGACCTTGCTCTGCCTGTGCTGGCTGGGAACCCACATCTGCTCCCCAGACGCTCTTATCTCCCGGCCAGGGCTTTTAAAGGGCGGCAGAGGCTCACTGAGGGTGCTGAGAAAGCAATAAAGCCTGGTGGGAGGTGGCCCTGAGGCCCAGAAAAGGAAACAATTTTTTTTTATCTCAACTGGGCAGGGCAGTGGGGGTAGTCAAGGATGGCTGAGCTTTCTGCCAACTAGTGGAAAAGGCACTGGCTGAGCTGCATCCCTGGGGAGCACTCCTGGCCTCCCCAGCAGAAGATGCACAGCCAGGCCCCCTACTCGCTCATGGCCACCATCAATGTCCAAAGGAGACCAGCACCCCAGGGCCCCACCAGGTTGGGACTGCTCATGGGAAGTGACAATAAGCTCATCTTCAGTGATTTTTCCACAGATTCCCACAGACACGGTCTGGCATCCAGACCACCGCCCCTGCCCTCATCCCCCGGCTAGCCTGACGAGGACTTTGTACACAGGAAGACCGACCACAGATAGGCGCAGAGGCAACGTGGCGTGCTGATAAGGACCATGGACTTTGGAAACACAAAGCCTGAATATCAACCCCAACACTGGGCTAGCAGTGTGACCTTGAGCAGGTCCCTCGCCCTCTCTGCACCTCCCAGTCCCATGGATTTCTCCACTGTCAAGAGTAGATGATGGTGATTGTACCAACCACCTCGGTCCCTCCTGAAGCTTAAAGGAGCTCGTATAATAAAGTGCTACGACAGTAAGAGACACAAAAGTGCAATGCCAGGCTCTACTCATTTAGACATATTGATGCACTTTCTAGGTGCCAGACACTGGGCTAAGGACCTTATACTATTAGCTCATTTAGACCCTACAGCAACGCTGTGAGGTAGCCTCTATTATTACCACCATTTTATAGACGAGGAAGCAGAATTCAGGAAGGGTTAAGTTTCCCGGCATCACACAGCTTTTGCGATTGCAAAACAGGTAGACTTGGTTACAAAAGGACAAATACTGTATGATTCCACTTATTTCCAGTACCTAGAGACGTCAAATTCATAGAGACAAAAAAAGTAGAAGGAAGGCGGGGAAGAGGGGAGAACGGGGGTTCATATGCCATGGCACAGAGGTTCAACTCAGGAAGATGACACAGTTCTGGAGACGGATGGTGCTGACGCCATTGGAACTGTCCACTTAAAGATGGTTAACATGGTAAGTGTTATGTGTCCTTTTTCACTACTGGAAAAGAAACTTGTGCGTTAAACCACTAGATTCTACTGCATTTCTAAGATGGCTGCATGGATGGGTGGATGGCTGCGTGGATGGATGAATGGAGGAGGGATGAAACGCTCAGCAAACGCACAGAGACAGATGAACGGATAAAAGTCTAGAAGGAACGAGAGGGGGTAGAGAAGGATGGAGGGAGGAAGGCAGGCTTTCCTGCAAGCCAGGAACAGTTCCGAATGCTGGCTGGAAATGAGGCGGTGAACACGACAGGCAAAGATTCTGTTCTGTACTCAAAATTATTATGTGAGCATTTATAGATATAGTAGCTTAAAGTCTGGGATAAGGGAATTTTAATAATTTCTACCATGCAGGGCCTCCCCGGGGGCACAGCGGTTGAGCGCTGGGTTGCGAAGCTGCCCGCGGCCTCTACGGCGCCGGTTCGATCCCCGGCTGCTCCCCGGCCACCGGAGGAGGGTCCCGCATGGCGCGCAGACCTCTCCTGCCGCCCGCTGCTCCCCTCAGCAGTGTGCTTCGGTCCTTCTGCCTGCTCTGCTCCCCGCTCTGGCTCTGGTGAATTCTCTCACCCTCCCGCGCTTCTGACTGTACCCAGTGCTTGTATAAACAAAAAACAAACAAATTAATAAATAAATAAAACATGCCTCTATAAAAAATAAAAATAATAAAATAAAATAAATAATTTCTACCATGCATTGATTACTCGCTACGCAGCTAACTCTTGTGCTAAGCACTCTGCATATATTCACAAGAAGCCTTTGGGAGACGTCCAAATGCTCCTTATCCCCATTTGCAGATGATAAAAATGAGGCACAAAGATATCAAAGAACTTGTCCAAGCTTGTGCAGATAAAAGCATCTGCATCAGGACAGAAGCGGCCACATCCAGACGTGGGTTTGACAGTCTGCTGGCAGCTCTCTTCATTGAGAGGCCAGAGCGCCCCTCCGACCGACAGCTGCACATCTCAGGAGGTTCGGGGTCTGCTTGCTCACTGATTATCTTCAGACCTGTTCTCTCCCGCCTCCATCCCACAGCACATCGTGCTCAGTGTTCTCATGTCCTCCTCCTGTGCCCTTGAACATGCCATGTGAGACAGTCATCCAACCCTCCACCTCCCCTTCTCCCTCATTCTTTGCCCAAGTCCTGCCACACGCTGCTTCCAGAATATTTCTCTGTTGTTTTCACCTAGGCCTTCATCAGGTCTCGCTTTATCTCTTGAAAAAAAATAGGGCCTCCCCGGTGGTGCAGCGGTTGAGTGCTGAGTTGCGAAACTGCCCACAGCCTCTCCAGCACCGGTTCGATCCCCGGCCACCAGGCGAGGGTCCCACATGGTGCGCAGACCTCTCCTGCCGCCCTCTGCTCCCCTCAGCAGTGTACTTCGTCAGTCTGCCTGTTCTCTCTCCGCTCTGGCTCTGGTGAATTCTCTCACCCTCCCGCACTTCTGACTGTACCCAGTGCTTGTATAAATAAATAGTATAAATAAATGAATGAATGAATGAATAAAATCTTTAAAAAAAAATATCAAGTATTCATGGCCCTGCACTTCACAGCCATTCTCTCAATTAACATTAATGATCATCTATTATTTTCCCCATGTCACCAGCAAGAACTTCCAGCTGGAATTTCTCTAATAACTCCTCATCTGGTCTTCTTGCCTCACCCAATTTTAATCCTTTCCTGTCATATTGACAGGGTCCAGTTGGCACCTGATCCAGGTTTGGGAATCAGGCTATCAGATTTCACTGCCTTTGTTGGTGTCTGCTCTTTCTGCCTCAGTTTATTCTCCTATAAAAATGGGTTAGCAATGGTGCTCATGGCAGAGACTTGTGTGGATTAAATGAACCAACACACCTAGCACTGTGCCTGGTTCACAGCAGGTATCCAATAAACAGCAGCTCTGATGAGGGTCTGGATGGGCCGGAGCAGCCTGACTGGTATAGCAAACCCCCATTCCAGTGGCTGAACATGAAACACATTGACTTGCAATTCACAGCATAGTCCACAGCAGGCCCCTCACTGTGGTGGCTGGGGAGCCAAGCTACTTCTATCTTGGAGCTCCACAACCTAGGATCTCAGAATTTTTCCACCAGCCAGTCCATGGGGAAAGAGAGAATGTGAAAGATTGTACAGGAGGTTTCTTGAACTAGACCTAGAATTGGCAACTACCAGCCTCATCCATATTTGATTGGCTAACAATCATCCCAGAGCTTGGGAAACGTAGTCTTGCCATGTGCCCAGAGGAAAGAGAAAGACATTTAGGGAACATAAGCAATTTCTGCCACATGGTAGTTGACTCCAAGCCCTGGATCTCATCATATCCTCTCCTGGCAAAATGTCCAGCCCCTCTTATGGAGGGTGAAACCAAACTCCCATAACCAGCAGCACAGGCTACGCGGCCTACCCCTGAGTTCTGCCATCACGTGACCCCAAACAATTTGTCACATGAACCCACCCCCTGCTGGTCTCTGTTTGCAGTTCTCTTCTGCTCTCTTAGCCAACTTGTACCCCTCACTGAAATCTCAACCAGGTGCCCATCCTCCAACTAGCTGCCACTTCTCCAGATGTGCCCCTCGAGGGCTACAGCCAGGTTGGACTCAGTAGCTCCAAAAGCAGTGGATCTTCAGGAAAAAAAAAACCCCTGAATATCCTTGTGGAAGAGGAAATGAGGCAGCATACAACCTGATTCCAAGGTCTGAGAAATTGTACAGAGGCCCAAGGGTAAACACATTTCATGTCACAGTGAAGGATGAAAGTTCCTGAAGAACTGAATCAAATGGAGTTATTTTGTTACAGTTATTTATGAAGTGAAAATATAAATAAAATATTTTTGCCTTTCAATATATGTGCTTTTATTTTCCCCAATTGGCTATAGAGTTATTAGAATATAAATACTAAATCTTTCAGACCTAACTACTTAATAAACAGAACTGTTGGGAACTCCCTTTGGCTCAGGAACACACAAATCAAGAAAGCTGGGGAGCCTCCGAGACAAACAGTATATGTCCTCCTGTGTCAGGCACTGGGAGCTGGCTATCTGTCACTTACAGTAGAGTGCACTTTCTGCTGATATTTCAGAGACAGGGGGCGTTTGGTTTAACCATTCCTTCTCGAAAGTGGCCACTACGTGTAACGCAGATGCTTGAGCATTCAGGCTGAGCTGAGATTTGTGCCTGTGGAAAATCACAGAACTTAAAGAGGAACCTCTCACTCTCTTCTGAAACTGTGGCTTTATTTCTATCTGAGTTGCTCTGCAGTTGTTGGCTATGTGTGATCTCTTGGGGCTCAGAGCAACTTCGTTCTTGGAAAGAGTCTAGTTTCCACCTTCCTGGCTGCTCAAATTGCCTGTCTCATTGAACCTGAGCACATTTCTTCCTCACAGGCACCACCAGCACCACATTTTCTCCCCTACAGTGTCAAGTTTAAGTTTATTTCTCTGATGAGTCATGGTAACCAGTCATCAGACATGTTGGCTATTTCAGAATGCTTCACAGTCAGAAAGTCACTGGATTGAGGAAGGAGTCCATGAGGCTTTATCAGCTCCTCATTCACAAAATGAATGTCTACTTTTTTTTTTTTTCACTGAAGAGACATACAACATTATATTAGTTTCAGGTATATAATGATCTGACATTTGCTTATAACACAAAAATGATCATCACAGTAAGTGTATATCTACCTATTCTTAGCAACATTTCAAATTTACAATTCAATCCTACTGCCCACGGACCTCATATTATCCTTGACATCCTCATGACTTATTTTATAACTAGAAATTTGTACCGCTTGATCCCTTCACCATTGTGCCACCCCCCCCAGAGTCCCCCTCAATGCACCCTC